GACTTCTCACTTCAAACTACCATGGCCCCACTGTATGTCACATTCGGCCACTTCCACAATACTCACCTAACCTTTTTTCGACTTTCATCTTTGATGCTCCTTCCCCTCTGTGAAGCCTGAAGTCAACTAAGAGGCTAATGATAATTATCAAAACGCCTGAAATTTGATATAAATAAATATTCTATCTGTCCTCTTAGGTAATGGTAACCAAAGCAATATACCACAATTTGATCAAGTCAAGATGGGTTATTTTAGAAATCGGTTGCTAACTAATTCGGAGTTTCTAATAACTATGGAAATCGCGTGACAGATTTTGATATTTGGCCATCAGTTCATATAAATTACTGCAAGCCACATAAGAATATACCTCACCGTTTTAGCTTTTCACTTTCATTCGAAGATCCACTCTTCGACTTTGTCATCCCCTGAATTTTTTTTGCATATGCGTTCATAACACGATCTCTGCAGATACTCTACAAGTAGGAAGTATAAGGAAAAGAACCATAGCGTAAGAGATGTTTCAGCCTATTTCCAGCCTATTATCACACCCACCTTCTCTAGTTGAATTGAGAAGAATGCTTCTGGGTGGAAATCCACATTGGGTTGACGAAAAGCTCTTTCAAAAGCCAATGGAGTTGGACCCATTTGAGAGGTTAAAAATCCAGTGTATTCAGCTATTGAGGTGGCCTCATTTACGGAAGTGAAACCTTTCCTATTAAAATGGGGATTGTGAATAAAAGATGTGATGAGTGTGTGTGTGTGATAACGATTCAACTCAACCATGTCAACATACTTGCTGCGACCCAAAGCAAATGCGTTGAAGAAGGATGGCAGGGCGTTGAATGCCAGCATTAGAGCTGTGATAAGGGCATTTTTGTGAGTTAATTGAGTTTTCAGAATTATAAGGAGATTTTCAACTCCCCGTTCATCACATAGCTACATAAACAGTAAAAATAGTAATTCAAACCATATCACTAAAACAAATTAAAAATTATTCATGCATATACTAATCATGAAAGCCTTAACTAATTAATAGCAACTTATTAATTCGTTATGAATTTTATCATGCTAGAATTACCTCAGCCACATTGACCTTGCCTTTGAAGGAGAATTTGCCGACATGTGTTTCATCCAGTTCATGGATGGCCAGAGGTAGGGCCGAAGTGATGAACCTATTAGATTATAATAACACTTAAAATGAGTGGACCTGGGAATTGTCATTTCAGAATTGGTAAGTGGAGCTCATGAAAGTCATTCATGGGTCCAACAGGTATGAATATAAAATCAAACAAGAATCCACAACATCGAAATACGTATTAACAGCAAGGCATATTCACAGAACACCATCTACTGTAGTGATTTTCAATTTCTTGTCTATCACCTATTTTCTATCTACTAGTTGCAGTCTCTCAACTAGTACATTACATCCTGCAGTAGATTGCTACACTAATAAGCCTATGTTTGGAAAGATTCCCAGAAATAGACGTATCATGCAGAGCACGTTCATTTGGGATGTGTGCGTGTGATGGGTTTCAGACAGGGAACTTAGTCGTTATAATACAATGGCGGGGTGAGCGATAGACTTACCTCCACGTGGTGCACCCTGGGCAACGTATACTCATACGGCAAAAAAGTCTATTATTCTGACTTCAAACTATCATGACCCGACTGTATGTCTTACTCAAGCCCTTCCACAGTGCTCACCGTACCTTTTAAGTGCCTTTGTGTCTATTTGTCTCTTTTACATCTGTGAATCTCGAATTTTTGTCACTTTGATGTTCCGCCTCCTCTCTGTGAAGCTCGAAGTCAGCTAAAGGGCTAATAATAGCTATCAAACAGCCTAGAATTTGAAATAAATAAATAATACAATGGTGATTTTGCTAAACCAAGCGAGAACTTTTGATTGGCGATTGGCTGGGTACACCCGCGCTCACGACAGGATTTACTCCCTACGCAAAGTTGTACGGAGCACCTGTTTGGGTGCTCAGGAGTTTACTTGTTCAGCGGTGACAACGTTGAGTGCTACACAATCACTTCTTGAAGTAGATAAAGGCTAACTGGCTAAACCTTCCATCCGTGGTAATCTCAAACATCATTTTAAGAAGTCTTTTTCATTTCATTTTAGTGTTAATATAGCTAAAACAAAAAGTGATCACATATAACAACAAAATCGGGAAAATAGTTTTGAGGTAATATTTTATTAAATTCCACTATTTCATTGTTAACACAAAGCTCTGAGTAATGAAAGTAAAAAAGAGTCTAAATCAACACATTTATTAAAATGGAAGAATAAAATTTCATGAAAAAACTGCAGTAAATTCAAGAAAAAGCATAAATAGATTCAGTCAATAGAAACGTTCTCGAAAATGCACGAACAGGACTCAATGGCACTTGTGAAATTGAGAGTTTATGCATGGCACAACCGTTTCTCGACTGACTTAAAATTCATTTTATCACGAATAATTGCGAATGAATCTAAATCAACGACGAAACTCACAACTCAACCATGATATCTCATAGCATTACATCTGTTAACTTCATCATCGCCAACAGTTACATGTCGGTAAACAGAGAGTCTGCGTTGTTATTAAGAAGGGACTCTTTTGCATCGTGTTGTCAATGTACTTAGGGCTATTTCCACCATAAAACCCTTAAGGTGTAGCTTAAAAGTCGGATGCTTCATTACAAAACAACAGGAATTTCGGGATACTTTTAGCGGACTGAGATTATTCAGAAGAGATATTGCATTTATGCCGATAAGGGCTGAGACATAGGAAATTAAAATTAAGGCGCATTCATTTCACTCACTTATCAACAATGGAATCGTCGTCTTGTACGGAAGTAATGTAGATAGGAGGCTTGGCATCATTGGCGCTCTCCTTATAACTTGCCGCCTCGAATTGCACAGGTCGCAAGAAGAGATGGTACTCATCGTAGCCCATTTTAATTGCCGTGTGGAGGTAGATTTTTGCTAGGATTTCTGTCTCCCATAGGCAAGTTATTAATCGATGACGTAAAAATACCACATTGAACACATGACCAAGCTTATTAAGGAGAAAAGCTTTTCGTTGGGATTTATCGCCTCGAGTATTTGCCTCTTGAATACTAGTGTAGCGCTCTTGAAGGAAAGTTGACATTTGTTTGGCGTCATCAATGAAATTGTTGGCGAATAACTAAGAAAGGTGAAAATAGACTAAGACGATGAATCTGAAGCCACTGGTAGTGGAAAATGTCTTATCAACTCAATGTATCATTTAAGTTAAACGATTTGCTGTTTCAGCTTTATACACCATGTAAGAGTCGATGTTGCTTGCGAATTAAACTTACATCTTTCTGCAAAGCTTGGGTATAGGAGAAACCTGGAGGTTCCATGTTGATTATTTCTTTCTGGAGAACCTCATAGAATTGTTTTTCCAGTACCACTTCATCAATCATGCGAGTCGGTGAGAGGAGGTCAAAGGTCAAATTCACTGCCTGTTGCAGGGCTTCAGCTAGATTTGGAGCCATGGAGAGAGATGTTCGCAATTCCAACAGATAGCAAGGTGTTAAGGCTGGTCTGAAGGTTGAATATTGATTAGGCATATAAATTATGGCGAATAAATATTCATTTGCCCTCCTCACATAGGTACCTTTTAAATTAGATAAAAATATTTAAAGTGGAATATAAACTAACATTAAACGACAAGGTAGGATAAGACAAATTCTTCATAATTTTCGACTTTGTCGTCTACAATAACTGCCCGTCAATCGTAAATTGTTAAAGTTATATTCTGTTAACACTGACCACCTGGTTAGTGTCTGGAAAGTACTTAATTATAATGATTTTTCAAGTAAATAGTTATTTATCTTGCCAAACTTTTAATTTTCCTCTTTCAAACTTGTGACATTTAATCTTATAGTACTTAAATTATTGCATATTTCTTAAATATCAAATCGCATTGCAAAACGACACTTCCAAAATTTACACATCTAGTGCTTTGCCAAATCACAAGCTTTAACCCTGAAATTATTGGTTCGGGTCTTCATTTAAAATGCATTTTGGTAAGGCCAGATTTGGTCCACAAAATTGTATTTTAGAATTAGTATAGAATGATATACGCCATTAAAAGGTAAGCGAAAATGAAGTTGGCTACACGGCATTTCGATTTAAAGAAAAGGAAATTTTCCAAAAATGGCCACTGTTAACAAAGATGCCCTCGAATTAGGAGGCATTTTGAAACGGCTCCTGCTTCTTGTATTTGTTATTGAAATTCAATAAAGTCAAAATTTAGAATTTTATTTCTTATCAGAATATCTAAGTAGTTCACATTCATAATATTTTTAATTTTAGTTTTTTGATAGTCAATTCTTTTTATTTCATTTAAATTTTACATCTTGAAGAGTTATTTTCTATTTAACTCAAGAGAAGATAGTAGAAAGTTTTAATCCTTCTGTCAATTTTAGGTTAATTTAAAGCCATCAAACGATGATGATCAAAAACATTAACTTTAATACATTTGCAGTTATTTATTAAACCTAATCTCAAACGATCCATTGGGAAAATTTTGCATTTGAATGCATGTTTTGTTTTAACTACGATCTTTATTCTCATAAACAGATTCAAATTTTAATCAAAATTGTACGAATTTTGGATGTTTATAAAAAATTCAATTTACTTATCCGAGTTTGAACTGAATAAGTAATTTCTGGAGTAGGCTAACGGATACCCATACTCCGTACAGTCGGTCCCTAGCTTGTAAATATATTCTCTCTGTTGCTCTATCTAAAATAGACAAAAAAATTAACATGAATGGTGATTTAAAGATAAGCTTTGTTAAATAATGGAGACATACTTGTGTATCAAAACAGTGTTTCAGGATGGCTGCCTTAAGTCTAAGAATAGCACATTCATAACGGTAGGCGAGAACAAAGTAATTGGCGTTGAGTTCGATTCGTGGTCGCTGATGCATCAGATCAACCATAACTTGTGCTAGTCTTCGGCGACTATCCCGTGAACAGATGTGTTGATAAGCCTCCACGTATACATCCATCAACTGAAATGGATATACCAATTTAACCTACCCTTGAATATGCTTTGATCCCATGCATTTATTATTTACTTTAACTAATGCCAAAACTTAGGGACTAATCTTAAAATGAGTAGTTTTAAGAATGAAACCTCAAATCTGGGCTAGTTAACTTAATATTACTTTTAAGTTTAAAGCTGTTTAAACCAGTTTCTTTAGGTTCCACAGTGAATACAATGATCAAATCTTATACTGAGCTTGTTCATTGACTGTACATTGACTGTTGTTTATATTCGTATTTATTTTGTTTGCTTACAAAGTCAGGACTTATAATAGAGCTAGCGGAATTCGATTTTCTCAACATATGAGACCCTCTATTCAAAATGAGTTCTATAAATCCTTTTCTAAATAAACTTGAAAATCATTGAAACATGCAATACATCCAACAAAGTTGAAGAAGATATTTTTATCTTTTTCTTCAACCATAACAAAGCTAGTGATTTGCTAATCGCAAACTTAATTAGCAAAAGTTAACGTACTTCTTTTTTGGCTTCCTGGAATGCAGATTCATTCGTCCAGATATCATACAACACACCAAATCTATCGATTTCACTGTGAGCATAGCTAGCGATATTGAATTCCTTCTGGTTAACATCGATTTCTATTTGTCTTCGTTTTATACTTAACGCCTTGTCCTTTTGGATGAAATGCGTCGACAGAAGCAGGAGATCGTTCTCCAAATTGCTGAAATAATGAGTGATTATGGAGGTGGACTCAATTCTTACTTGAAATCTTCTAGAGCACAGTCGTATATTATCCAGCAGCCAACTTGATCACGAACGTGAATACGATTATTTTCGTGGTAGTAGAAATCGTCGTGATTCTCAATGTCGGCGAATTGCATAAATTCACTTTCTTTGATTCTGAAATGGTCCAAATTGAGAGTTTTATTAGTATTTTCTTAGTAGAAGGAATTAATGGAGTGGCATCTAAAAAAAGGTACCTATACTCCCTAGGCGTATTGAAGAGATAACTATGCCAACTGAGATTACTTGTTCCCGCCTGATTACCGTTCATCTGGGGTCCAAATCGATGGTTTTGTGGGCTCCTGAAATAATTATATAAATGGTAAATATCTTTTTGAGAGTTCCTCTTCAGAGGAACTGCAAACGTACACTCGTTCAACGCCTCTAGAAGACAGAGACAGGCCTTGATCATTAATTGTCAACGTTCGTTCAATCGATCGGAAGTAATTAAGTATAGATATGCACTAGAGTAAAAAAACGACTTTAAAAGGTCGATCTACTGACACATGCAACAAGTGACCACAAGCGAGTGAAAGTACCGTTCGTTGAAAGTCACGAATTTTGAGGTGCCTCAAATGCAGATAAGAGAGGTATCCACCTTGAATACTCGACGGGTCTTCCGTTCCATAATTAGCATCATCTAGGCCAAGTCTCTGTAGTGCTTCTGCTAATTCAAATTGGCTTCGATCATTATTTTTCACTGAAGATGAAACTCTAGAATAGGAATTTCATTAATTTGTGCTTGAATAACAAGGAACTCAAATCCATGAACAACAGAGAAAGGAGAATTTTTTAAAAATCATATATATATTTTCTCTTAAATACCACATGTAGATTGTTGTTCAAATGACTATTTCAGGTAAAACTACTTCAGGCATTTACTTAGTGGTCTATTACTTAAGTCACTGTCTGAGGTGTGGAAGCTTTTAAAGTAGAGATTATCAACTGATTATAAAATTATTACAGTACAAATGTGAGAATTCAGATTGCAAATACGTAGAAATTGACCTTTAATAGACAGGACTTGACTCCAAATTTTTATTTAAGAATAGTTGAGAACCAGTGTGATCATGTTTCTGATTAATAATAGTCAAAAACTGAACCTTCTGAAAAGTAGGTGACAGCTGTTCGCTTCAATTGTGTTAGAATTGGGTCAACTAAGATATGACTGTCGTGCCATGCAAATATCAGGCATTTTAAAAATCGAGCATGAGGGTATTGACTGGTAATTTATTGGCTCTAGTATTAGTAAGTCTTGTTAGAAAATCAAAAAAAACGTATTTTTCTTTACACTCGGAATCAAACTGTCTGAAGGACGGTACCAAGTTCACTAAATTCGATATATCATCATTTTTACTATAGAAAATATCGGTGTATTCAGGCTATTGTTCAACATTAACTCCTGCAATTGCCTCCTATTGGCTAAAATTAAGGGTAAAACTTACTCCTTGTACAACTCAGGGTTGGAGAAAATTTTTCGATAGATTTCGCTAATTTTCATGCCCTGACGATGGTTGACAACCGATGCCGAGTGGATAATAGGCGGATTTTTTACCAACATTGCATGATTTCGAAGGGCGCCTTGAACATGCTTTAAGATAAGGTCATGTCAGCGTACTGTGAATATTGAATCTACCTCAGGTTTATTTATCTTAAAAAATGCAGACAAAGAACGCAAAATTTCATCAACATTTCCTGCGCATCTTAGCTTTGTCATGGTCTCAACCAAATAGGCATTTCTATGTGGCTTCAACTTCCTGAACTGCAACCAATTAGCTGGCTTTTTCATTGCGCGATTTGGAGTCTCAACACCCCACTTCTCAGAAATTGCCTAAAACACAGAGCCAACTACTAGGTAAAGTTGAGGATGGGTAAAACATCGTCTACACAAAAAAGAAGATAAGGTGTTTACCGAAGGTGCATCATATGTTTTGAAAGTTCGCTTCTCCTCTTGCTCAAGGAAAATTCGATTGAAATTCCTGTTTATAACCCCAAATAGTTCCATCTCATCAGCTGCTGAGCGAATGGTATGGACATTCTAAAATATAAGGAAAAAAGAAGTAGCTTTGATTCAAAACAATTTGAAGGCGCGAGGAGAGGATTGGAGTAAAGTTCTTACAAATTCTATATTATAAGCCTCCAAAAAGATGGCTAGATAAGGTCGGATGTTTGCAATATCGGTTGTATGCATGGGGAGGCCAAAATAGCTTTCATTTACGACCGATCCACCACCGGCTACTGTAAACTGAATATTTGTTGAAGTTGGTAGCAACGGATTCCCTGCTCCTTCCAAATGCGCTGCGTAAATGCCAGGTGGTTGAGGCGAATGTTCAGAAAATTTAAAGGTCTGATCAGCGATTTTGACATCTTGTTCTTCTTGATCCTTAATCATGATGGCGGGCTTGAAAGATGTCATTGATCCAGTTGGGGTTTCTGGCAAATTATCTGGTGTCAAGTTAGTGATATAAGATGATTTCCAAGGAGGGCTGTTTGAGTCGGTGTAATCGCGCTTTGTAGAATCATCTGCACGTAGACTCTCTGATGCACTATGACCAGTTGTAAGAGTTTCAGCGTCGTCCCTAGGGGATTGTCCACTTTCAGCAACAGACTCTTGTGTACCAATAGGATTATGGTCCATTTCCTCTGGAAAAGAGGATGGTGGAAGAGCTTCAGTTGTGTCCGTATCTTCTTCACTTGTAATAATGCTATGCAATTTTTCGTCATCTGCACGAACTGTGGCTGGACCCTTATCTAAAACCAGACTCAGCATCTGCCGAATGTCTTGGTCCTCATTGTAGTTTAATAGGTGCTGGGGTTGTTTCTAGAAAAATATTGAAAATTGAAAGAAGGGGTTGATAAAGGGAAATGGTGAGCTAAAAATGTCAAGTTTATACCCCCAAGGAGACCAGACTTTTTAATATTGAAAGAGTAAATTCCTCATGGGAGATAAGGAAGCATTTTATGTAAAAATGAATAGAACGCTAATGTTAGACTTACTTATATACTTACTCGTTTCTAGATTCATTTTAATCGGTCAATGGATCTTAGCTAATTTATTCGATTCTATTTTAGATCATAACCTCTGAGAGGTATGAAAAATGTATTGAAAACATTATATCCAGTCTCATCAAATGATGTGCTTTTGGTAAAAAGTGCTTAAGAATATATATAAACCCAGGGCTACTTTATCTATGCTTATGAGTTATGGGCCATTTGTCAATTAAAAAGATATTTTAACCCAGAATTAATTTCATTGAATATCTTAAGCAATCTAAATTAATTATTTATCAAAGGTCCTAAAGTATTTTAACCATTACAATTTAAGGAAATACTGACCGATAAATCCTGTTTGAATCCTTCACGATGTCCATAGGGAAACCACTTAATAAGCTAAATATAATATTTTTTAATTTTTAATTTAGCGAGATTACATTAATGAGCTGTTTAAAATAGGTTTGAGACTGCAGTTTAAATATAAGCGCTCTCCAATAAATCTGGATATCTTCAAACTCAGCGCATTCCAAAGCACTATCATTCCCAGCAAGAAGGGCTTCTTCGCCAGCTGAAAGTCGATGAGCTCTTGAACTGCATTCTAAGTATTCATCCGTAAGACGACTAGGAAAAGTTAGGAATTGTAAAAGGATAGTAGATTTTACCCTATAATCGTTAGGTAGTCTTGATAAACCTGTTCAACCTTCATGGTGTCCGAGCAATATCGCTTCCAGCGAAGCATAAGAATGTGTTTTGCAATCACAATTTCACCCATTCTATCAAGAAAATACTGGAGAAGAAGAGGTATGAGAGTAGTAGCATTAATTTCGCCTTTTAGACATGTTTCTTGGTCTGCAACCATCTGATCGGCTTGAATAATTAGTTCGCTTGGTGATGAAACTTGGAGAGTGCGCTGTATGGCAAGTTTGCGTCGTCGACGAAAGTACTCAGGATCTCGAGGTATGTAGATAGAACTCATACCTTTTGAAGGAATGCCATGGATAATTTCATTCTCCTCTATTTGGATTCTCAGTTCTTGGTAGTCGGCTTTTAGGCCCTCTTCTTGAGTCTTCAAGAAGTCTTCATCGTTATCCATGTGTGCTATTTTACTTATGTGTAAGAGTAATTCAATGGAATTATTGAACGTATTATTAGATTATATCAATATAGATTGGTCGCATATATTCAGAGAATTGCTTTAATAAACAAGTTTGGACTCCATTTTGACAATATGAGCTTGTATGCGTAATAAATCTTGGAATTCATAACAAATTTACTACGAACAAGCCACCAATTCAAGTTAACATTTTACTACAGACAATATTTACTTATTTTCACTAATTACATATGTATTTATGCATACATTTTGATTAAGAGTTTGGTTATTGTAACTGTGAAAATATGGAAATATTTAAAATGATTTGAATTTAAATAATACGTAAAGTTATTTACAACAGATGAGGCAACGATTATTCAAAAGTGTGCCTATTTGTTACTAATGGCAATAGGTATCTAAAACTATAATTTAATTTATCAAACACTAAAAAATTTTTGTACGAGACTTCCATTGATCTGTATTTCTAAAACTCTAGTCTAAAGTGCTATTTTGAATTATTTTATTTCACATTTTTCATAATTAACAGTAAAATTTGTACGTATAATATGACTAATAAATTTTAAGTGAAAACTTTATTTTAAAATTATTATATTTAACTTTTCAACAAACCTTTTTTCTGTTTTACAATCAACCTTGGCCTTTTCAGCCTTTCCCTGTGAAACTCATTTATCCCAAAATGGATGCGTCCGCGCTCAGGTCTTTATCGGATGATGATTTGCGTGAAAAATTGGAGGAGCACGGATATAAGCCCCCACCAATTACAGGTATAAGCATACTACTGTCTTATTTTATCAGATGGCGCTGTTCGGGAAATTATGAGGAGAAAACTATTCAAGTACCTGAATCGTAAGCTTTTATATTTAAACTAATCGACACAATAATTTGTAGCTAATGGCAAATATCCGGAAGAGGAGTAAGTTTTAAAAATATGGTTACCATATCTTATTTTCCAGTGAACTTTGTGATGCAGAATCTGAAGTCGACGAAGACGGTGTAGTTGTGGTTCGTGGGGGGAAGCGTTTTGGAGCTGGTGATACGCCTTCTGCTTCAAAATCGCGAGTTTCTTATAACAATAGCTCGGAAACAGCTCAGAGATCTTCATTTCCTGTTTTTGTTGCTGCCTGTCTAATAGTAATGAACATCAGCCTTGCTGTATGCATCTTTTACCGTGATTGGCTCTTCTAAAATCCTTGTTTATGTCTAATTTTTTTACTATTGTGTTCATGGAATTTTTTTATCGATTGGGCTTATTACATATTATATCTGTTTGTCACATGCTTTTTCTGCCGTATTTCTTAACGATACTCAAAATTTGAATTTTCGGAATGTAACGGTTTGTTTTTCATTTTATTTGGCCAAAGTTGTAGCGGATTGCTACGCTAGTAAAGCCTGACTAACTCAGATTCTCCAACATCTAGCTAGACTCCCAGAACCAGCTAGGAGATTCTCCTACATCTAGCTAGACTCCCAGAACCAGCTAAACCATAGCCCAGCTATAAAGGAAACAGACGAGTAGCACGGAGAATTCTCCAACATCTAGCTAGACTCCCAGAACAAGCTAAGCTATAGTCCAGCTATAAGGGAAACTGACGTGTAGCACGAAATGCGTTTATTCGGTACGTATATTGCATATAAAGGAAACAGATGTTTAGCACGGAGCACGTTTATTCTACAGAGGATACAGACGTGTAGCACGGAACATTTATTCAGTAGGAAGGAAACAGACGTGTGGCACGGAGCACGTTTATTCAGTGGATATGTTGCGGATAAAGTGTTTACGCAGGAAGCTTAATCATAGTCAGGATACGGTTTAGGTTAGACAGAGGTAAATGATTGGTCACTTTTGTACGGTCCCACCTCCCAATCTTGGCGTGCAGGCATGCGATGACGTGTCCCACAAAGTCGTCCGAGATTAATATTAACTGCATGCCTAAAATTATAAACGGTTCATATATTTTAATTGCGCGGCAATTTGGCTGTGATTTGCTTTAATCAAATGTAAATATTATGGGTGGTATCTGTTTTCTGCTTCTGCTTTGAATTCCTCCTGACTCATCTGCTTTGGTGGGAATCCACTACTTGCCTATGGATCTGAATTAGCTGCATTTATTAACGTGTGCGTTCTCTACTTGTTACTTAAATGAGTAAAGTAGGTCATAATAATGACAGGCAATTGAGACTGTAGATTGTCCTCACTTCCCCATACTTGCATTGCTACATGTAGTGCCTGATGTGTGCTTAAAGTCTACATTAAAAAGAATGCTAATCGAGGATGGCATATTGCCAATAAGATGGTCGAACCAGGCACTCTTTTGGACAATTGATGTTGACATGAGGTTGAGAAGATAACTAATAAGTTTGCTCCCTTCTATCTATTCAACTATATTTTTTCATCTTATCCGTCAAAGTAGGTTGCGCTGAACTTGCTCCAGAGCTTCTATTACACGGTTCCTGAAATAGGCTTATTACTACCCAGTTCCTATTATTAGACTGTTTCTTGAAATGGTTCAAGTTCTTTGATATTATGTATGGCTTGGTTTAAATTCGATTTAACTGACCAAAATAAATCGAACACACGACTGGAAAATGTCAATCGCAGAGCGCTTCTCATTACGATGAGAGTGGATAAAGATGCCCAAAAGCCAGTCGAGTTCAAGTAGAGTTTATTGGTACTCTGTAACGTAATTAGTGGTAGATATGGTAACACTAAGGAAATTTGCAACACATTTACATTTCTCCTGCAGTCTATTTGTCGCTCCACGTTCTCCGACGAAGGGCCATGTCCTTGCTGAAGGAGATGTAACGTCTGCTTGCAGGGGAAGTGGTTCCTTGTTAATTTCGTTTACCCTTAAGCCCAATGCAGGAGGTTGTAAACAGATCACATTACACAGGCCGGTTTTGCATTAGCCTTTAATTGGATTATGCCTTTGGAAGTCTTGTTAATTAGCGAACGATTTAAGGCCTCTGGAGGTAAGGTCAAAAAATAACCTTGCTAACAAACCTGAATCAAATTTTACGAGAACGGAGTTTGAATAAGGCCTATTTGTAATGGCACCATCATTGACAGTAATGAAATTGTGTAATCTTATGGAGATAGGCTGGTGGGAAGGCAGATGGGAGTCCTTTGTGGTTCCTGGAAGTCTTAATAATTCATCATACTGCAACAGTAATAAATTTGATGAATATCGTGAAAACTAACTAAAGTTGTTAATAAAAGCGGAAAAAGCACTTTTGGTGAACATAGTAAAGCATCAGAAAATTAATAAAACCTCTATTTCAGAGAAATAATCCTCAATTCCTTTTATCAATATTTTGAATTCGGGGTGCGTAATTGACTTACCTCCACGTGGTGCACCCTGGGCAACGTTTACTTATACGGCAAAAAGGTCTATTGATCGGCAGTTGACTTCTGACTTCAAACTACTATGGCCCGACTATTTGTCATATTCGACCCTTTCACAGTACTCATCTTACCTTTTTCATGCCTTTGTGTCTGTCTGTCTCTTTTACATCTGTGAATCACTCTTCTGTTCCCCTCTCGACTTTTTGTCACTTTGATGTTCCTTCTCCTCTCTGTGAAGCCCCGAAGTCAGCTCCAGGGCTAATGATAACTATTAAAACGCCTGCCATTTGATATAAATAAATAAATGAATGTTTTGAATTCTTCCCAGTATTGTGGTTTTCG